CATTAACCTTGCTGATTGGATGCATCATGCAATCATTGTTGGCTTTATCTAACTTTTCTTAGCAGCTTGTCTCAGGATTTTTTTCCCCTTTTTGTACAGTTAAAGTGAGAAATTGTTAAGCATACTTCTTCGTTCCAACCTAAGTGCAAAGAGACAATTGTCAATTTGAATTAATACAAGTTGACTATCCGAGCTATCATATCCCTATTTTTATTTTATCAAATTAATTATTTTATCAAAATTAAAATGGGTCAACATTCTGTGTTCAGTACTTGTGCCGTTGCTGCTCAAATAATAAAGTCTAAAGCTTGAATCTTTTATATGGAAAAAAAATGAACTCGATCTAAAATAACTTATACCCAATGTGACTTCTAGAGACGGGTTGATAGTAAGCGAAAAAAAAGACACTATCTGTCTCAATTGAACTAAGTGGAAAAAAGACATTATCTTTCTTAATTGAACTAACTAAAAAACTAAGTCTTATCCAAAATTCCTAAGATAAATTATTTATGATTTGTGACTAAAAGATTAGATATATTTTATATGTTAGGTTGATAACACCCCAGTCCTAAATGTAGAGTCTTATCCATTTGCTTGTCATTTCAAGTGTTTGGGAGTCTGTTGTGGGAAGCTCTCCAAATAAACAATATGGTTCTCTCTGGGATCTGTAGCTCCATATTCTTTTTCAAAACTTTCTGTTTCGGGGTTCAGGTACGGGTAGTTTAGCTAGAGCCTAATGGGCACTAGAAGTAGTGAATTCCCATTTAGAGTTAGGCTTCCAGATAATCAAATCCTCGTCTTGCTCCTCCAGTCTCAGCAAATGAAGAATTTTCTCCGTTGCCTGTTGTGGTACGAGAGTTTTCAGTATCGAAACATGCCATGATCCATCCTCCTTTATCCCTGACACGCAAACTCGTGTTTATGCTTTCACGATTCTGTACTTAATGTATCAGCTCTCCCTCACCTTCTAGCCAACAATCCAGCCACACTCTCATGATATTTCCACTTCTTGGCTCTATTGCTATGTGTTCCTCAAAGAATTCCCAGAGTTTCGAAAGTTCTTTCCATAGTCTTGAGTCCACATTCTTCACCTCTGGTACATCTCTAAAATGTTGACCTCGGCTATGCTTTCCATGCAACACTTGAACCCATAGCGCATTGGGTTCATTATTGATTTTCCATATCAGTTTCCGCAGCAGAGCTTCATTCATCAAGTTCAAATCTCTAATCTTCCCCCGCGGGGGCCCAACCAAAAAAAAAAAAAAAAAAACAGTGAGAGATCTTTTGGGAGACACATTTTATTCCAACTGATTGCATGCCATTTTCTGTTACCATTCTGGTACCCCCGAACAAATAGTCTCCGGCCCCAAAAACGACATCGTTTTGGGTAAAATAATGAACACTGAGCATGTTTTTCCTTTTTAAAAGCATCCTCTAGCCTCTAATATTTTAAAATAATTTTTAGTACATTTAGCATCTTAAAATATTTTTTAAATACCATCCGTTATCTAACATCTCATGCCAAATAGCATGAAATATTTTTTCAATAGCACCTAGTATCTTGTCACCTTAAAATATTTTTCAGTAGCATTCAATATTTGAAATAATTTTTGGTATATTTAATAGCCTAAAATATTTTTCAGTAGCATTCAATATTTGAAATAATTTTTGGTATATTTAATAGCCTAAAATATTTTTCAGTAGCATTTAATATGATAAGTTTAGGGTGCTTATTGTTATTGAAAGAAATATTTTAAAAGCAAAACTGCGCTAAAAATTATTTTAAGATATTGAATATCATTAAAAAAAAAATGCCAACCTTATGACCACTCATTAAATGTTTTTTTTTAAAAAAAGGTGTCCACCATCCACATTATACCCCCCCAAAACAGAGTAATTTTGGGGTAGAAGAGGACAGTAGCGGATTAAAGGAATAGGGGCCAAGCCAGGCTCTTTCTTCACGTTCTTCCCTATTTTGTTTGGAAAAAGCTACTCACTTTGGCCTAAAAAAGAAAAGAAAAGAAAGAAGCCACCCAGAGACCTTTAAAAAAAACAAAATCTTTTTGACCTTGACGCATTCTTTACATTACTTTTATTTAATTTTTTTTATATTTTTTAAACAATGGGTTTAGCAAGAGAAAAATTGAAAACTTTGTTAATTTTCATGTAGAGTTAATTAGATATCAACTGCTCTTTAGTTCCGGTGGAAATATTGTAAAACACTTATAGAAGAAGTGAAAGAAGTAATTAATTCAACTATTTAACCTATAGTACTACCTCTCGTGATAATTATATGACCTCATTATAGTTTATAAATGGAGTCTTATAATTAGGACTGGATATAGTATTTAACATATAGTCTATAGTTTAAATTAAACTATAAATGAAATTTTATATTAAGGACCCAAGCTGCATATAATATTATTTAAAATAATTGTTACATTATTTTTTTATATTAGTTTTATTTAATGCAATGTTGTTTATATTTTTCTTAAGAATGGGCTTAATAAGAAAAAATTATAATTTTTTTTTAGGGAAAAAGATAGAAAAATGCAACTTTAACTCCAGAATCCCAAAAACGTCCGGCCAACTTCACAAATCCCATTTTGGTATCTTGAGACTAAATTGGGATTATTTTCTTAGACGAAAATACCAAACTGCTCTCACCTATTACAAAACGTGGGCACCACATGGGCACCACAATAAGCCGCACACCGAAGGAAGATAGGCGGGAAGGAAAAGAGAGAAACGTGCACATTCCAGTTGCTCGAAGGTGACGAGAAGGTGGTGGTTCGAAAGGGTAAGTGTTTTTCTGAAATCATATGACTGTTTCATCCTCCATGCATGACTGTTGCTATCTGTTTTCTTCATTTTGGTGGTCCTGCGTTCTGTATGAGGCGTTGAGGGTTCAGAGGAGGTAAGCGGCGTAAGGCGTACGTTCTTCATATTGGGGTGTTGGTTTTTCCTTTTTTAGGTGTGAGAATGGTCATCAATCTAAACAAATGAGTTGATTAGTGTTAGATACGGTTAGGGTTCTGGCCAAGTTAGTTTTGTCAGCTTAAGAGGGAGACGATGCTGTAGAAATCGTAAGTTGATTCATCTGGGGGTATTGGTTGTTGTTTTTAACTTGTGGGAATGGTTAGTTATTGGAACACATGAGTCGGTTAGTGAGGGATAGAGTTAGCTTAATCTGGGACGGTGTTTATAATGATATGTTTTTGGGGATAGTAGATGGTAGCTGAGGGAAATTGGAAGAAGCGCTGCGATGATCACGTATATAAGTAGGCTGAATATCCATAATAATGAGGTTGTGAAGGGTGTTGTTAATAGTTAAAGTGGAGTTGTGAAACGATATATTGAAGTTGTTAACTTTGAAAGTGGTTGTGTTGGGTTTATGAAATATCCTTTTTACAAAGATGACATTGTGATGAAATATTTTCCTTGTTTGTTGCAGGGTATAATGCAAAATGAGTTGCAATATTGGGTCAACATATTCAAAGACACTTGCGTTGATTTTTCATCTTGGTGGAAACTTTGTTAATAATGTTGAAGGTGAAATGAGATACAATGGTGGGAGTGTGAGAGTTAAAACGATAAAACAGGAGATAAGACATGAAGAGTTGAGCTTAATGATATTGGAATGGTTTGATATAGATCTTAATATTTGTGACATGAAATATACAGTGAGCTTCGATGATAAGGCATTAGTAGACTTGGTTGATGATAGTGAAGTTGATAATCTTTTTCAGTATAATGACACTAGTGCACATGTGTATCTAGCATTGAAGGAGAGTACACCGGAAGTAATGGATGATCCACAAATGTGAGACTTGTTTTTTTATGGTTATTGCAGTTGTTATTTGTTATATTGTTGTTGTGAATTTCCTAACAAAAGTTGTAATTATGCATGCAGCATTAACAACTACTTGGGATTGTCACAAGAAATGTGTTTTTTGTCAAGTAGGGAGAATAATATGGACGAAACAGTTTGTGATGAAAATGGGGGTGATTGTGTAAGAGAAGGCGGTGGAGGATGTCATGTGAGGCTAGTAAGTACAGTAGAGATTGCACCAACACCAATGCCCGAGATGAATGCTGTGAAGTGGAAGGAATTGTTGTTAGGAAAGAAGCAAACTTTTGCAAATGTCACAGAATTCAAAAAGGCAGTATATAAGTTTAGTATTGCAGAAAACTTCAAGTACAAATATGTCAAAAATTGTGAGGAATGTGTGCATGTGAAATGCAATGTTGAAGGTTGTCCTTGGCGAATAATAGCAAGAGTAGCTGCGAAGAAAAGTCCTTTCCTCGTTGTAACTCAACTCAGCAGCAATGAACATGTGCATAATGCCTAAGAGATTATGCAAGTTACACATAGTGGAAGAGCAACCTTGACATCATCAATTATCATTGAGGAGGTAAGGGATCACATTGAAAAGCGTCCAAATGAAATAAGTAGGACCTTGGCAAGGGATTATGGTGTGAAGTTGACATATAAGCAAGCATATAGGGCTAAGAAAAAAGCATTGGAGGAAATACAAGGGAGGCCTGAACAGTCATACATGTTGATACCATGGATATGTCAACGATTGAAGGAAACCGATGAGAAGACAGTAGCTGAATGGGTAGCAACTGTTAACAATATATTTGAGCGTGTTTTTATAGTATATGGTTGTTGCATAGAGGGTTTTTTGTCTGGGGCAAGACATATACTGTACATAGATGGAACACATTTGAGTGGACCATATAGGGGAACAGTGCTATCAGCCTCAGCATATGATGTGGACAATGAATTGTTACCATTCGCATATACTATTGTGAAAGGAGAGACTTATGAGGAGTGGGCATGGTTCTTAAACATGATAAAATAGATAGTTAGTGCAATCCAATTAACTATTGTGTCAGATCGTCACAATGCAATAATAGGAGCTATTGGAGCAATATTTGGAGGTGACCATTATGCATACTGTTATAAGCACGTGAAGGAAAATTTCAGCTCTGAAATGAATAAATTATACAGAGGTAGGAGGAGAACTAGTGGTATTAGTAAGAAAGTTGGATTAAAGTTGCTTGATGACATTGTATATGCGAGGGTCAACGTTGAGTTTGATAAGGCAATGACAAGGATGGGAAATTTCAGTCCTGATTTACTTCAGTGGCTTAACAATCATTGTGATATTCATAAGTGGGTAATGAGCAAGTTTGCATATAAACGGTGGGATAACATAACAACGAACATTACTGAGTCATTCAATGCTTGGATTGTAAAGGAAAGGTGGCATAATGTTGCCCAACTTATTCATGAACATCGTGAGAAGGTTGCAAGGAAGATGTTCGTAGCAAGTGTGGCAATGAGGAACTGGAGAAATGGTGTGGGTCCAAACATTGATGGAAAAGTGATAGAAAATGTGGCTAGATCGATTCATATGCATGGTGAATCTTATGGAGGTGGCAGGGTCTGTGTACATACTTCGCGTGGAGCCTTATATGTCAATGATCAGTCACATGAATGCACTTGTGCTGCATGGCAAATGACAGGGATTTCGTGTCCGCACGCTTGTGCTGCAATAAGGGTGGTTCATGCAAATGTGTATGATTTTGTGGAGGACTGTTATAAAATAACATCCCAAGAGAAGATTTATGGGAACACCATGATTCCAGTAGTGACAATTGACAGGCCTAATCCTAATGATTATATGCTGCAAAATATAAGAAACCAAGTGTGGCTATATCCACCTACAACTAGTAGACCTTCGGGAAGGCCAAGAATTAGGAGGCGGAAATCCCAATTCCAAAATAGGAAGATTTACCACTGTGGACAGTGTCATGAAGCTAGGCACAGTAAAAGAACATGCAGAAATCCAAACCCAAGTTAAAATTGGTGGTTCACATGTGGGTTTATTTTGTAAAGGTTATTTTTTGTTGTGGCTTGTAAATATTTTGCAACTCTTCATATTTTTTTGGATGAAGGGTTGTGCCATGTGATAAGTCGACATAGTAGGCCAGACATAGTCAGTGAAATGTGTATTTTGATGTCAGTGACAAGAAAACATTAAGTAGGGATGAAATATTAATGTTAGCTTGTCACTGATTGTAAGTACTGTCAGGAAGGATCTGGTTTTAGGAAAATACCTATATTGAAGTTGTTATTTCCTTTAACTGTGTTGTTAACAATGACAGAAGTTGCAAGACGAGTCCCCTTATTATTCATGTTTGATATTGTTGCCTTATGTTTTATGTTTTTAAGTACAATCTTCGTTTGAACTAAGTTAAAAATATGGGTATTACTGATCATTTTCTTTTATGATAGTTGTTAAACTTTTACTCGAGTTGTTGAAACGTTATTTAGGGGTTGTTATATGGTTTACTGAAGTTGTAATATGGTGGGTTTAGTCATTATTGGAAATGCTGTTGTGAACGCATAATGAAGTGGGTTTAGTCTGTAAACACGTCTTAAAAGACGGTGTAAGCACGCCTGTAAACCAGGTGGTTAACAGGTATACCTGAGTTGTAATAACCTTATACTGACATTATTAAAAGTTTAACCGAAGTTGTGAAAGGGGTTTTTCCCCCATCTTCAGGAAGCTGTTGTGAATACCAATACTAAAGTTGTAAAAACTTTAAATAATGTTGTTAAGCCATACACTGGAGTTGTAAAATTTAAGCTGGATCTTAAACACATTTCCAACTTGGGTGTGGGCATGCAAGGGACCCATTGGCTAGCGGGTATACATGAGTTGTGAAAAACCTATACTTAAGTTGTCAAAAGCTTAACCGATGTTGTAAAAAGGGGTACTTGTTTTCATCTTCAGAAAGCTGTTGTGAATACCCATACTGAAGTTGTAAAAACATATAATAATGTTGTTAATCCATATATTGGAGTTGTAAAATTTACCCCAGATTTTAAACACGTTTCCAACGAGGGTGCGGGCATGCAAGGAACCAGGTGGGTAATGGGTATACATGAGTTGTGAAAAACCTATACTTAAGTTGTTAAAAGCTTAACCGAGATTGTAAAAGGGGGTACTTGTTTTCATCTTCTGAATGCTGTCGTGAAACATATATAATGATGCTGTTAATACTTATATTGGAGTTGTAAAATTTACCATAAAGTCTAACTACTAATGTCTGAAATGGTATGAACCAGTTGCTAACAAGACACAATTACTAATCTTGAAATCAGTCCTTCTGCCATGTTCATAAATCTTCTCCAAAGTTAAATAACATGAAACTACATCAGATTGTCACATAGACATGTACAAGGAACCTCTTACTAAGTACTATGATAAACGTCGTCTCTTGGTGGTTGTCTTGTTCTGCTGTTCTGAAAGGAGAGTTAAGGCTTCTTCCCGACTTGAATTTAGCAGATGATTAACTAGCCACCACATTAGCTCACGCCTAAACTCAGCTACATGATTCTGCATATAAGACAGGTGCACATGTTAATGTCCACCATACCAGGCACATAATTAATCATTAATTACAGGCAACTTTCATACCTCATTGAAGTCAAATGTCACATCTGGGACCCATTTGCTTAGCCAGATCAACACATGAACACCACAATCTCTCCTATACAGCCAATGGGAAATAAAACATTTAAGTTAGTATGACTGCTTCTGCAATTCACATCTTAAACTAGAAAACAATGTCAACAGTCAACACAACATACAAGTTGTTCTGTTGTGGAACAGGTGCAAAAATAATATCAGTCTTAGGCTTCTTCCCAACAAGTTGAGGTCTGACTAATGCAATTATATCATAAAAGTTGTCTCTCTGCAAACCGACAACAGAAATCTAAAATATAAGCTAAAAAGGTGGAAACATTGGGCATTTGTGATACACAGCTATATTAGTTTAGTCCTTACACATGCATGAAGATGAAACATCCTTTTTTCTTCCAATGAATCCTTCTTCTTGGTCTTCTTTGGCATATTATTAGGCAGCCTCATGGAGTCCAGGACATAAAAATGCATTGTTTTTGGCTCCAACACAAAGCAAAACCAGTGAGACTCAATAATTATGGGTCCAAATATTAAATCACAGTCAGCTAGGTTGTACCCGATATGCTGTGGCAAAATAGCACGTTTGTTCTCTAATGCTCGCCACTGTGAAGGGTTACTAAGCATTTTCATCTGCAAAACAACATATTAGTTTAATCATCACAACCCCTAATTGTCAAAAAAAAAAACCGTAGATACCACAGGGCTTACCATGAATTCAATATCAAAAATGTGTCGCCCCACTTGTCCTTCCTCACCTGCCTCTGCCATTAATGCCCTATCGACCATTGTTATTAGAGGGCTACTCGCTCTTTCGATTCCACCTATCGTACGCAACTGATCCTGATCAATTTGTTCATCACACATTGTAACCATAATCTTGCAATGTGTACATCATATGTAAGTAAAACAGTAATAACAAAATAAGATGAAAAAACTTTCCTGCTTTTAATGTTCCATGCACGGCATATCTTACTTTTAACCCTCCTCTCGTGAACACATACAAGAGACAATGTTGAAAAACTTGTCTTTCTCAGTTATTACTCTCTTTCTCCTCTTAACAGGCTTCAACATGGAAATCCACGGAGAAGTTACTTGACGACTTGGAATGATTGTTCTCTTTGATGGCCTTCGGTCTTCTCCCTTGTCAGTCTTTTCATCTGATGACTCCACCCTTTTTCTCCTTCATCATCACCTTTCTCACTGTCTCCTTCCTCTCTATCCTCATCACCTTCATCACTACCTCTTTCCTGATCATGGGCTTCACCTTTAGCAGTATCTCTATCACTATCACATTTGTCACTACCTCCTTCTTCACCTTTACCATCAAATGGAAGAATCACTGCCTCGTCGCCTGTGTTGTCAACAAGGTCCCTCAAATTTGAACTTGGCATCCCTTGTAGATGGAGCTGTACCTTCATAAGCTCCTCTGCAAATTGGTTACTAAGCCTTTTATGGCTTTTCTCAAGTGCATCCATCATCCTTCAATGCATTTCCTTCAATTCCTGCTAACACATTTGTTAAATAGTTAAACTCTTTACATACTAATAAAGTTTATACTTACAAAACTACAAACATACCGGCCGTAGATGAGCAACACTTATTGTATCTTCTAGCACTTTTGTAGACTTCCCTTTGTACAATAGGCCTATGTTACTTTTTGACTCTTTGTTGACCAATTCCTTTATTCTATGATCCGTCCAATATGCAATAGCATATGCTGGGTCATGGTTAGTAGCTTTTGACAATGGGAATTTCTCACCCAAATATAGCTGCAACCAGAATCATAGAACACACCGTATTAGCCAATTGAATTAAACAGTTACATTAACATTAAACAACATGTTTAGCTCTAAACATACCATCAAGAAGTACAGGCAGCCACCCACAGTGCAGCACGGATCCCTCTACTTCCTGAACAAATTCACATAATCCTCTATTTCCTTGTAAAGGTCATTCATGGTGTACGTCAACCAATCATACTGTTCATATCCATTCATAGTTGAACATACCACTCTTAATAACTTCTCACCAACTTTTGCACTTGAAGTTGGAGCTAGAAATGTGCCAAGTGTGACCAACATAAATAATAGTTCGAAATGCTCATCATCCGTCCTACTTTTTATGTTAGCTAATATCTTGCTATAAACAACATTACCATACTTTCTCCTCAGCTTCTTATATGTGTCATGATTTTCATCAACATCTCCTTTTACCTCTTGCCCAGTATGGGGCACACCAAGCAATGTTCCCACATCATTTGCCTCAACTTCTTCTGTCCTCCCCCTTAATCGGAATTGATGTGTTGCTGGATCGTACGATTGAATGAAAGCTACAATTAACTCACATGGGAGTCTATCACAATCCACATCCAACAACTTAGAGAATCCTATGTTCTCTATCCTTTGTCTTAAACTTTCATCACTCTTAACAAATTCCGCCAGTGACATGAATTGATGAACAGAGCAACGGGTGAACATTTTCCATACTCTCTTACTCTTCTTCTTCTCCGACCTCATTTATTTGGCCCTTTCACTATATATTTTCTTCTCCTTGATAGAGAGCCTTGCCTATGCCTCTTTCGCCTTATTAGTTCTATCTACTGCACCCTTGAAGTTGATATACCCATTCCTTGGCCCTTTTGAAGTTGATGTCTCTCCCTCCAACACCATTTTTTCTACACATTACACATTAATACAAGCATGTCAGAAAACAATTATTGAGGGTGGGGTTATAAGCTAAAAAGCATTAGGCAAAACGTTACAAGCTTAAAAGTGGAGTTATAAGGCATTTTTCCAGAACAACACAATTCACAGCCTTTCATTCACATGAAGAATATTAAAAATATAATAAAAGTTAGGAACTTGTGATTAACAACATATATATATAGATATTTACAACTTCAGTATGGCTATTCACAATAGCATTTTGAAGAAAACAAGCCCCTTTTTCCAACTTCGGTTAGAACTTTACAACTCTAGTGTAGGGATTAACAACATTTATATAACTATTTACAACTTCAGTATGGCTATTCACAACAGCATTTTGAAGAAAGAAAACATAGACCCCCTTTTCCAACTTTGGGGTTAGTATTTTACAACTCCAGTGTAGGGAGTAACAACATATATATACATATTTACAACTTCAGTATGGCTATTCACAACAACATTTTGAAGAAAACAAACCCTTTTTCCAACTTCGGTGAGAACTTTACAACTCCAGTGTAGGGATTAACAATATCTATATAAGTATTTACAACTTCAGTATGGCTATTCACAACAACAATTTGAAGAAAACAGAGACCCCTTTTCCAACTTCGGGGTTAGTATTTTACAACTCCAGTGTAGGGAGTAACAACATCTATATACATATTT